AACAATAATATCAAAAAAGTTCGAGAGCTTGGTACCTGTCTAAAAAAATTAAATAGGATTTTGTGAGTTCATAATAGTTATTTAAGATACGAGTGCGGAAAGTAAGGTTTGACCTTTACGCTCAAGTTTCTTACAACATTTTTCAATGCTTTTTGCGAGGAAATAAAACAAATATATAGGTTAATAAAACTAAGTATGTATTAAAGGTAAAAATTATTTGTTAAAATTAAACGTGATATTTGAAAATGTTTTCGTGTCATACATTTTTATTTGAAAATATTCGTTCAAGGCTCCTTGAAATACTTTTGCCTCTAAAGTTTGACATATTTTCATATATTTTTTTTAATTTCTTTGGTGCTCGGTCGAAAAAAAAAATGCTTTTAAGCACGTGTTTAAAGACTCACTTTCGGTGTTTACAATGGATTGAAAAAATAGCGCTTTATGAGCAACTGCATTGAAAAAAATTTTATAATATAATTCGCCTTTTCAACTTCGTTCAACTTCATTATAATATACGCGAGAAATATATAAACAACATGGATAAAACAGGCGAATGCAGTAATTAAGGTCAAGGGTAATTACGTATGCCTGATTTATACAAACCCAGTGACTCGAATTTTCAACTTCAAACGCGGGTTGCAAGTATAATAGAAAAAATGTTTTTCAAATGAGCCAGTTGAATGCGAAACCCACTTCTTATTCATTAGCGCTCGTGGGGGTAGCTATCAATAAACATACATTTTCATATATATATTTTTGGTGCGGTTTGTTAGTATGCATGTTAGTACGGATTACTTTTTGCAAGCTATATTTGATCCACTTTCCAATTTTTCATTAACCTGTAATTTTGGATGCGCATAACTTTGATGATAATGCAGTTTTAATAAGGAATTGAAATTTATCTGATGAAGACACGTAAGTTGGCCATGGAACTGCTGTAGTTAACGAAACTCTCCAATTTTGTTTTGCTCGCGGATTTGTCTTGTCAAAATGTTCGATATAAATTCGAGGGTCTCACGATGAACCGAAAGATGTCCATATAAACTTTGTAATTAAATAAGGCAACTCCGTTGAGTTTGGACTCATTCATCTATACAATATCTCTGGTCCAAGATAGCATCAAGTTGGTTTGTGTAAAGTTTTACTGAGATGCTAAAGATCAAAAACATTTATTCATTCTAATTAGTTACAAGAACTTATGTTTTGTTATGACAAGAAACTCGGCAAGTACTATCTTTTTTCTGATTGCTTTATTAGCAATACAGCTTGGCAATGACAATACATTAAGTAGTAACATTGAGAGTAAATAAATATATATATAAATGAATTTCCGTTCGTTAGTCTCGCTAAAACTCGAGAACGGCTGTACTGATTTGACAAATTTTAGTCTTGAAATATTCGTGGATGTCCTGGGAAGGTTTAAACGATGAGAAAATATAAAAAAATGCGAGTATAATAATAAAAACGACAATTTGATTTTCCCATACAAACTGTTTTTAGCTGTCAAACGTTCATTTGATGATCAATATTTATGGTCGTGTATTGGTCACTTTACGCAATATTTTTCAATAATAATATGGTTTTTATTAAGAGGTAAGTGATTCGAAGTTAACTGGGTCAGCTAGTTAAGGATATATGTTTTCAGTGACATCGTACTTCGTGTTGGTTACAAATAGTCTTCGCTTGTCTCTGCAATACCTGAAAGAAGCAAACGCCGCGTTCGGCATCTAACATCTTTACTCGACAGTCGCCATCGACATGTGATTTGTGAGTTTTTTAAGTGTGTCAATAAAGTTGGAATTCGTGGTATAAACGTTTTATTTCCGATTGACCAAATAGACATTAGTAACAATCCTTGATCACTCTGATTCTGTTGCATAATATAACTGTCAAACTGCCTTTTTTATTAATTATGGAATTAACTAAGGTAACAGAAATAAACTTATCTACTGGAGAATAAGTTTGTAACAAGTAATGTCTTTCATAACATTTTACTATGAAAAAACGTTAAATCAAACCTAAATTTAAATTTGAAACTGTTTAGAGAGTAACTCAAGATAATTAGTCACCATTGTCCTGTATAAAATATTATTTATATATATAATATATTAAATATTAAAACAATATCGAGGTTTGATATATTCTCTGAAAATCTATAGATAACAGGAAAAATAAACTTAATAACCCACGTGTGAACCCACGAGTGAAACTCCGACTTGGCCGTATTTTATTATTCAAAATAGCGGCCTGCCAAAACACGCCAGTTGAATCATCTAATATAGTCTAAATTGAAAAATGCTTAAAATAACTCCTTTGTCCCTGATGCTCCGAGATGGGAATCGAACCCACGACCTTTCGCAACTGCTCTAACCACTGAGCTACCCAGGACCTAACGGAAATGACGAATTTGTTACTTCTTACTTTTTCGTTACTACATAGCGTTAAAGCAATCTACACAAATAGGCGAAAGAAATATTTTTACAAATATTTCCAACTTTCGATAAAGATGAAAATTTGTTCTAATTATTATATTTGATCAATTTTGCATAATATAGCATTTATACTGGAAAATATTCTCAATGAAAAATCTAATATAATTTTTCAAGACAGACTAGATATTTCTGTATCAACGGCTGACATAAATAAACGTGAAGTATTATTACCTAAAAGAAGTTTTGTAAAGCGTCACGTTTCTGAGATACGAAAGCTATCAAAGTTTGCTTGTGACACAACAATACGACTTTGATAGCACGTGTCGATGACGCCTTTGAAGATAATTTCTTACAATATTAATTCATGCTTTCTATTGATGTCAGTTATTGATTCCTATTGACGGGCCGTTACTTGGAAAAAATGGCGATTCAAATGACAGGTTCTATCTAAAATTCTATTCAACATTACTAATTTTAATAAATTTAAAACATTTCTGTTTTATTACAAAAAAAAGCTTAGTACTAAATTGAAACCATGACCAAAAAAACTTGTTTTTATTTTACTGGTATTAAACGAAACTAAACATTAAAACCTACTATTTGTTCATATAAATAAAAGACTAATTTAAGGCAAAGTCTACATTCATAGCAACTTTAGTCGAAAGCGACTCGCTGATGACAATTTGCAATTTCTAGTCGATATAACAGCGATATATAGTTGTTGGAAATGCGGGCGATCTATACGTTATACATCTGAAAATTCGCTAGATACCAGCGAAATCACTGCTATGAGATACTGAGATCCAAATATATACTCATTGTCTTTTATTATAGTAGGTTATATTAGGAATATATTAAAGAGCTTATAAGTAAAAAACTTTATAAATAATTTTATAAATAATTCCTATAATTGTTTGGTTCTAGTAGAACACGCTCAGCTACTACTAATCCGATAAAAAAAGAGAAAACTAAATCATGCCCTACTGGTTTTACCAGAGTCAAAAGTAAATTATTAAAAACTTTTCTTATTAACTTACTTTACTTTTCAATTATTTTTCACTTTATAGCTGAACATTCTAAGGAGCTCTTTTGCAGTGACTTAAAACTAGATTTTTACGCGCAAAGCACAATTCTATATCCTTATTATCCTACGCATTTCATTCGTCTAGTTTTCTCTTTTGTCTTTACGCTCAATCTTTAATGGATAAAGAATTGGTTTCAATTTATCATCCCAACTATTGAATAGAACTTCATTTATAATACGATAATATATACGTTAGTGTCTATAACGATTATACAAACGACAATCTTCAAAAATGAAGATCTTAAGAGTAAAAGTATTCTGATATTTGAAGAAGACTGTAGGTGATGGTAATAAGGAAGAGTTCTAAAGATAAAATTAGCAAAACATCGAACTGATTGCTAAATAAAGCTTTACAGTATCGTTTTTCCTAAGTCCATGGTATAACTAGATTCAAACCTGGTAAGGATTATATTAACCCGTATTTTGTAATGTAAAATACCATGTTTTGTAACAAGATGGTTTATGTTCTCCCAAATTTGCCAATTTACCCGGCAATATTTTTCATTTTCCTTTCCCTAAAAACCTCAGTGGAGCAGTAAGCGTATTATAAAAGTAACAAAATGAGTTTGTTTCATAAATATATATTTACCTATTAGTTTATCCGTGTATTCAACTTTTCGGCAAATTAACCGATCATGTGATGTGCTTACTAGTAATTTACCTAGGACCAAGTTTCGTACCTTTACTTACATTTTTTCTTACTTTATTGCATAGTATTTATAAAGATTTGACGTTCACCATTAAGGCAGACTATATTCTAAATGCTTTTGGCATCTTTTTGTGAATTATTCTTTTTATATATGCTCATCGATTCTCTTGGTTTAATACTCCTACCAAATAATGTGAAATATTATCTATAAAAAATGATATCAATATTTCAAAAACCGCCATTCATAAGTAGGTAGGTTGCAACCGAGAGCAATGGCTTAGCGTATCTTCCGAAACACGGAGTAGATCAAGATAATAATTTTGGCCACCCATGCGAATGTTGCTTAACAACAACTACCGCGAACCGCCGATTTCAGTTTTTAATTAATGGGTCTATAACAACTTTTAATATTATTTAGTGTATTTCCACGTAAATTGACAAAGACAATTTCGCCACACACAATAGGACAATTCGCCAGACAAATATTTATTTGTGTGTCCCTCAAGAAATTTATGGAAGAATATTAAACACATATTTTTTTTTATCAATAAATTACGGCGTTACAATAAGTTAAAATGTCGTATGACGTGACGCCTTTATACATTTTCTACGTAGTTGTGATATAGCGAGCCTGTTCAACTTAAGTGTTACTATCTATGCCATGTCTTGTAAACTTGAAGCAAAAAAAATACGTATCTAATATTATCTGACTGTCGGACCAAATAGAAATTCTTTTTTTACTTAGTTTTCACCCCTATTTCCGACAGGGATCTCTAAAAAAGCTATTTATAAAATGCCTTCTTTACTCGTAGACACTTTAATAAAAAGATAGAACAATATTTTCCACTAGGAACAAGTATTTTACGATTTTTCATATATAAACCTTCCTGTACCTGTATATAATTTATATAAACAATTTATTAAAATAATTTATATAATAATGTATATAAACCTTCATAGTTCCAATCTTTTTGTTGAATTTTATTAAGTTTTTGAACGAATTCCTAACCTTATTTCTTGACTGATTCACTGTCAAAATAAATCATATATATTATTAATGTTTGTAAACAGGCCATGAAATAAAAAAAAAGAAGAAGATTGTTTGTAAACTAAACATATTATGTACAAGAAACGTGTTTCTTTAACGAAGATAACAATTAGTTGAAATGAATGAATAACACTATGTTAAGTTTGTGGTTGTTTCAATTAATTTAAATGTAGACATGTGCTTAAATCGTCTACCAAAGTTAAAGAAATGTTTATTCTGTATTTCATTAAGAGATGGAGTGTTTATGATTTCTAAAGGAGGTTTGGTTAGTATATTACATGTATTACTTTTTATTGAGAACGCCTTTAAATCGACCTTCATTATCACAGAACACAGAAAGACCTCTTTTCCGTGTTCTGTGCTCATTATTATCGTCAGCCTATTAATACACAGCCTAATAATTGCAGGGATACAGACCTTCCAAAACAGCCAATACATGCATTATTATTTTATTGAATACGATTTTGCTTTTTTGGTTCCATACCCGAAGGGTAAAATTAGGACTCTAATACTAAGGCCCATTTTCACTAAACTTAGGAGTCGCCCTAATCTGTCGCCTAAATATTTAGGAATCAAAATGCATTTCACCGTTGACTTGGAACCACTTAACGAAATTAAGTGATGTCTAAAGTTATGATATTCTTTGCGTTGCCTTGCGCTAGGAATTTGCGTATATGATAGGTCATAAATATGTCAAGGGATAAAAGAAAAAAATATATTTATTTGGAATTGAACTAACATGCTTAGGCGATTCCAGATATTAAGTGTTACGTAGTTAAGCTAGGTCTTGTTCTAGGTTAGTGAAAATGGGTGTATGACTCTGTTCGTTTGTATGTCCGTCTTTCTGTTCGTCTATCTGTCACCAGACTATATCTCATGAACCGTGAGAACTAGACAGTTAATAGACACGGGATAGGATATCTACGGAAAACCTTTTACGCGAGGCCTACTTGCAAGAAGACGGTTTTTAGGGTTCCGTAATAATATTAAGCTTAAACTAGCTATTTAAGAGCTAATTTTCGTAAGAGTCAATTATCGTCTCCCTATACCAAAATTACGGCAATAGCACCTATATATAACGAAATCAAAAGTAAAACTATCACACTTAATTTAGCTTTACAATTTTATAGTCGACCAATTGTATTTAACTCGAAAATGACGAAGAACTCCATAGAATATGTTCTTTGAAACTTTCATGGTCATTAACATCAGAATGATTGCTGAAAACGGGATTGCTAAATATCGGAAAGTCATAAAATAAACATGGTAGCAATCATGTCTTTAGCAATCTTTCTGAACTCCATAGAAAACTATAACCGTGCTTTTTTTACTTTTTAATGGATACGGAACCCTTCGTGCGCGTTTTTTACTCGCACTTGGCTTGGTTTTTACTATGTAAACTTCAATAAATAATACATTAATATTAATAAATACTGACACTAGTATAATTACAAGTAAAAAAAAAAAACGTCACATAAAGTAATTTATTGTGCGAAAAATCTTCTTGTTAAAAATTTATAAAATCAAAATTATTTATTCAGTGTACTTTGTTACAAGCACTTGCGAAAGTCGAGAGCTAAGCCATCGGTTCGTTAATCTACGGCGGGGACCTTGTACCGAGAAGAACCGGCTAGAAACTCGGCAAGGGCTGCTTTTTTCTGCCTGCTTTATTTCATACAGAGCGTCATGATTGAAAAATTACTTCATTAAAATATGAAGTCACTTTCCATTACAATATTAGAAAATATAAAAGTTAAACAGTATTTACGTCAATCGAATCACATGTCTAGGCAAACAAGCTCGCCGATAAATTATTTAATATACATAAAAATAAGCCATATTTAACACCAGTTTTGTCGTTTAAATATTCAACAACAGTATCATTATCCTTATTTATCATTATCCTTTCCTGAGAAGACGATTCTTAACATGGGCTTTAATTTTAAGCAAAGGTAAATAAAGCGTATGTTTCTATCCTTAAAATTAATTGATCAAATTATTTTCACAGATATTATTTACTCCATTACTAGTCTTGTTGATTATTGGCCCGTCTCGTTTTGGTATCCTAAACATCCACTGTGTGAACTTTGGCCTTTGGCTGACATTGATCATGTGTTTCTGGTTATCTTCATCGATTTTGTTAACCATGGAGTGGGCGGGATATCCCAAGGTTAGTGATATCACATTTCATGCAAGTATATTGATATTACATTACTTTCTACAAACTAATAATACAATAATAAATATAAAAGAATAATTTATTCAAAGATTTAAACATTGAAATATGATATATATATATATATATATATATATACATTATACATTTAAATACTGATTGAATAAATCATTTACTTTCATTTCTAGTATTCTAATTGGGTACACTTCAGTTTTTATTAAAAATAAATTAATTATTTTCCAAAGTACACTAGTTTCACATTGAAAAGCAACCGTTCTATTTTTGTAATGAAAATCGTTTGAATGTTTAAATACGGATTTTTTGTTTATGGAATTTTGTTACAATGTAAAAGTAGCTGATACTAATCTGTCGGTATCTACATTTGTTAACTGGCGTATTTTCATTACGGCAAGTGCTGCAGAGCTAAACCTATTCGACAATTTATCAAGATGTGGGCCCACTGAAAATTAGCATCCAAAAATACTGTGGTATCTACAAATATTATTATCTTGAGTCTGAATGCTGTTACGCTTTCGTTTTTTCAATTACCATATCTTAAGAGATTAGGTACTTGTTTGCAACTGAGCAATATGTAGAACTAGCTGCTTTCCCGTGACTTCGCCCGCTTAACTTGCGCAATGTCACCTGATTATGATGCAGTTTCCCGTAAGTGAAAAATTTTCTTGATCGCATTAGTATTATTATTCCCTACAAACGAACAAAGGTAGAAACTTAATGTTTACTATTGTTTTTATTAATGTATGTTAAAATTTATGTTTTAGAGTGAAGGTGCTCGTGGTATGCTTCTGCAAGTTTACTTCTGGCTCGTCGTGCTAACGGGGATCTTGCATCTGGTCTTTGTCCTCACTTTCCTGGTGTTTTGCTGGGATAAGTGTCTCAACGTCGCTCTTATACATCTTGGGATTACACTTATATTAATATTAGGTAAACTTTCTGATCACTGGTCCTTCCTGTAGATAGAAAAAAATGCCGTCGAATGCTAATCGACGTTTACAATTTTAGTATTTTATCCACATGAAAATGTATACTTGATACGAATATGTTTCGCGTTCGATAACTTTGGTTATATAGCAGTTTCGAGACGGAGTGAATTCGCCGTGAATTAAAACACTATTCAAGTGCAATGCTGTAAACTTTTTATTTATTTAGCATTTGTTTGTCTACTTTAATTAGTAATGTAAAGCGAAACGCTTTTATTTTACTCGTAGATCTAAATTTCCCTCATAGCACAGCGAGGATTAGGTAGATAGGTAGGTTTTAACGACTTTGGCCTGGCAAATCAATTTAATGTGCATTCATTTTATTACAAATAACATATTCCACATTATCGCTTAATTTAAACACATCTGTAACAGTTAGCCTTAAAGCGCTACTATGGATATAATAGAATAGCTTATTTTAAGACTACTGAGTAGCTACGAAATTTTAATAGCTTATATCTTGCAAACGTTACACTATAATCGATTCTGTTTACCTAATAATAATTCCATTGATTTGCACCAAACGAAATTTTCACCCTTTAAAGAAAAAAAGAAAGGAAAGTATTGCTTAAAAAATAGTTTATTTCCTTAAATTGCATACATGTAACAGTAATGTGGCCAGAATCACCCAGGAAGTGCCTAAAAGCGCTTGTGTCGGGTGGATATACACATTTTTAGATTTGCACGAAATGAAATATTCACCCTTATCTATTTTAATTTCAGCTGCAGCGTACTGTCTACTAATAGTAAACAGCTACAGGATGTCCGTCTACTGAATGGTTCTTCTCCGAAGGTAATACAGATTAAGACCACCTATTTAGCTACTTATTTAGCCGCTCCGGGCAAAAATAACTTTACACAATAACTACATTAATAAAGGTCATGAGTAGAAAAAGGATTAAAAGCAACATGAACTTCCAACTATGCTATTAAAATATGCTTGAGAACGTGCAATAAGAGATGATTATTTTTTTAAGTAGAAAAATATTAAAAGTTACTTACTTCATTTGTCTATTGATATTTTTTAAACAGTTCTCGATAGTCAGTTATCTACTAAGAAATACTTTTTTCTGCGATACGATGATTTGTTTTGTCTTTCATTTCTTTATCCTACCAAAATAAAAGGATCGTTCGATCATCGATACATGGTGTTGATTGACGTTACTTAATGTTGAAGTCATATAACAATATTTTTTTTGCGTTTTTTTATATGTCTAATTTATAGTTTATATGTATAATAAAAGACCACGTGAGCGAAGCTAGTATAAGTGTATGTAATATATATCATACATTCCACACTCTACTCATGAGCATGCATATATAATAGTTTACTTGGGCTTCTGAATAAATATATATTAGTTATTTAAGATAAGAGTGCGGAAAGTAAGGTTTTACGAATAAGGGCCAAATTGTTTTCATTGGCACGAATCCGAAAAACCTTTACGCTCAACTTTCTAACAAAATTTTTCAATGCTTTTTGCGAGGAAATAAAACAAATATATAGGTTAATAAAACTAAGTATGTATTAAAGGTAACAATTATTTGTTAAAATTAAACGTAATATTTGAACATGTTTTCGTCTCATACATTTTTAATTGAAAATATTCGTTCTAGGCTCCTTGAAATACTTTTGCCTCTAAAGTTTGACATATTTTTATAATTTTTTTTAAATTTCTTTGGTGCTCGGCTTTAAAAAAATACTTTTAAGCACGTGTGCAGTAAAGGATTTCAGTACATTTTTATTTAACACGTGTTTAAAGACTCACTTTCGGTGTTTACAATGGATTAAAAAAATAGCGCGTTATGAGCAATTGCATTGAAAAAGATTTTTTTTTAATAAAAAATTGAAAATACGTTACTGGGCTAATATAAGTTATTTATAGTGATACATTTTTCTCTCCACAGAGAAAATTTGCTACACCGCACTCAGTTTGTCCCCCTTTAGGTCGGGCCCTGATTATGACACTTCAAAGAGCATATACACAAGGGATTACATGCTAAAGACGAAAAATCCGTATTCAAACCACATTCGATAGATATAATCCATACTTATTCTTTGAAAAATTGTATGATGGCAAAGTTGAGATATTTACCGATTCATTCAAGCGTGAAAATAAAGGTGGGTCTACGTTAACCAGACCGTTCTAACCGTCATTATCGAATGGACGTTCAATTCAAATCCCTTTGTTTATTGCAATTGAAGAAGATCAAACACAGGCTTAATACTCTTAAGTGCTTATGAGATTCATAAGTCGGTATACTTACTTGACTCTAAACTCAGCTTGTATATTAGTATAAGAAGTCGTGACAAAAATGTGCAAGAGTATTCTAAAGTTTGATATTTCAGTACGTTGAAATACTAAGAATTTAAATCACTCCATACCCATTGCGGAGGTCGGGTTCTGGAATACCTCGTGACCGCGGGGCAACGTAAAGTAAAAATCGTAACATATTGTTAAAGGTGCTTCTTTTTCACTTTTTCAAAAATCTTGAACTAGTCAATAGTTCAAGATTATTGAAAAAGTTATTCTTGATATAAAAAAGGAGACTTAACTGTTCAGATTGCACAATCATGAAATGCAGCGACTCAGCAGATCTCAAAAGTTTGTGTGGAAATAAACTCCGAAAAAGGGTTTAGTAATAGTTTAAAGATAATTCGTTACTAGAGTATTAATAATTCATTT